CCGGTTTCTTCATCTGTAATGACTGTGCCTACATCACTGAGATATTGTGAAGTTTAAACAAGCTAGTCCATATTAACCAGTGCCTGACACATTGAAATACGATTTTGTTGTTACTGCTATTGGCATCGTGCTAGCCAGCATGAGTATATTAGTGCTAGTCTTCACCACCAACCTGGAAGTGGCTGTTTCTGGTCCCACTTTGCAAGTAAGAGATGATGTTCAGAGAAGGTGACTGACTTACCCAAGGTCACACAGCATGAAGTGCCAGGGTTGGGATTTGAACCTGGGTCTCTCCACTTTCTATCATCCTGCTCTCCCCAGGGCTTTATGTCAATCATCTCAAGAGGAGCTACTTCATGGCTGTGAATTTCCAAAGCTCACCTCAGCAATAACAGGTGACAGCAGGGGAGATGGTGGCACTGTTTACTCCAAAAGAAAAGCCAAGAGAGGTAGGCAGGCACAGATTTGGGGTTGACTAGAGGATTCATCGGTCATCTCAAAGCACAGAAATTAAACTTAGACGTGACCTTGGAGAGGTGCAGCCCCTTTCTCGTCCCTCAGAGACAGTTCCTATGATGAACCACTATGAATATATCATTCACAGGGACAATGAGGAGGAGGATGAGTTCTAAGAGCATGCGTTTTAATGTTAGTCTCTCTCACTAGATTTTAGGCTCCCTGATTATAGGCAAGGAGCATGTCTGTCCTGACCGCTACTGTGCCCTCAGTGCCTGGAACAGTATCTGACACAGACAAGCTCCTCCTTGAATGAATGAATGAACATGATTGCTTCCCTGCAGTAGAGCAACTTGTCTGGTTGAAACACAACCAAATTTAGTGATGGTCTTAGGGCAATATTTTCCACTAATGAATGTTCCATGATAAGAGGAGGCTCAAGTCAATTGGGGGCACACTGTGTCAAGTAGTCTTAACTGAGGGATTTTCCCAGACCTTAATGTCCTGAGGTGCATGGAGAATTTGTGGGGGTGGGTTGTGATGTGCATCATTCTCTGGATCTATTTCCACTCCTCCCTCCCTCCCTCTAGAAGGATTGCAGACATTTCGCTGGATGCTGTTCCACAAAACACAACTTGGGAAATTGTCTTTTTAAACCCACTAGGTGAGCAAGACTCTGAGGATGGATCAGAATGAGTCCTCACTGTGTTTTCATAATCACTTGAGATTAAAAAAACACACACACACACACAGAGCACGAAAGAATGATGATGCCTTACAGCCACTGAAATAAGCTGAAGCCAAGGGTTAGGAAACTACTGCAATGGGGTTAATGGGGAGTGTGGGCAGAGGCTGGACCTGAGGCCAAAGCCAAGTCTTTTTTAAACTAGACCTTGATGATTCTCTGTATGTGCAAAGGAGGTATCTTTACACAGATAAGCTAAAAATTATGGGGGAAAGTAGAACAATAATTCTGATTTTACCCCGATTTTACCTGTCCCCAGATCATCCCATTTGGGTCCCAGTCGAGCACAGCAGCCAGCTGGGACAACGGAGACATTAAATCTGCAGCCTCCAGAACCCAGGATCAGCCCCTCATTGCTTGTCTTCTCAGAGTTTATTTAGCTTTGCCCTAGCCATGATCTGTTTGATGATGATTTGTGACTCATGCTGTTTCTAGGTGGATACAAACTGTCAAGAGCAAGAGGGGCCCCCACACCCCCAGTGTTTGGCCCTTGGCAGGGCTGACTGGGGCCAAGGCTTAGCTGCCACCTGCACAGATGAGCCACCCGATCTCTGTTCAGGTGAGCATCAGGCTTGTGCATACCTGGTCTCCGGGCTCAAGTTACCCTGACACTTGGATCCCTCATGGCTCCTCTGCAGGTGCCTGGAAGTAGGAAGCTTCTGAGGGGCTTCTGGAGTGGTGGATGGTGAGCTGCTAGGGCTCCACTGATAGTGTCAGGTGGTGATGCCCAAGGCAACCATCTCCGGCCCGGCCCCTGCCTCTACTTCCTGACCCCAGGGCTGGCCACAGATAGGGAGGAGCAAACAGGACTGAGCTTGAACCTGGCCTTGGTCTCTAAAACGTAATCTCAAGCCTTCTTTCGGGGCCTCAGTTTCCAGGGTGTCAATGAATGGGAAGGAGGTTGCCACAAGACCAGTGTACGCTTCAAAAACCCCTAAAATGTACTCTCTCTGAGCCTTTCCACGTGCTTGGCAAAGTTTCTAAAAACCTATAAATGACTTACTAATGACAAAAGGGAAAACTGTGCAAAATAGGAAACTTGCAGACCCGCTGTGAACCAAGTGATCAAAGCCCCCACCGCCACTTTGGGGAGGAGTCAACACCACGTGCCTCCTGATGTGGGGCAGTCTGAAGGACACAACACCATGCCAGTGCTTTGGTGCCAAAAAGGCAAGATGCAGACCCAAGCTACCTTGGTGACTTACACCTTGGCAATTAACACACGCTTATAAATGCAAAGCTGCTGCATTCTTCTCTTTTCATTTTCAAAAACACTTCTAAAATATTTAATGAACTCTTTAGAATATTTTTAGATTTATGGAATAGTTTTAACAGGATTGTAGGGGGAAAGTATAGAGCAAGGAGCCCAGTGAAGCAGCTGCTGGAATAACATGGATGGGGCTGATGGCTGTGATGAGCCCCCAAAGATACATCCTGATCCCTGGAACACGTAAATACATTCCTTTCTGTAGCAAAAGGGACTTTTCTGTGTCATTAAGTTAAAGATCTAGAGATGGGGAGATTATCCTTGATTATTTAGGCAAACCCAGCATAGTCACAAAGTTACAACAGGAAGGTCAGAGTGAAGGAAAGGTGATGTGGACACTGAAAGGTTCTGGACCCAAGGAAGAAAGATTATTCCAAGGTGTGAAATAAAAGAAAATGGAATCCCCGTTCTGTATAAATCATGTGGTCTTTATTTCTATCCAGATAAAGGTGGGGTGAAATCAAGAAAGGAATTCCACACATGAGTTATGATAGATGGGGATTTAAAGGGTCAGGGAGGGCAGCAATTGGTGGCATTCCTATTTCCTGGGAGGGACATGAGTCTGACCCTGCCTGGGCAGGGCAAGTTTATTTGGGCAGGTACGCCTGACTCTATCAGACAAAGAAGCAGAAGGTCAAAGAGAAAGATTTGAAGATGCTGCATTTCCTATTGAAGATGGAGGGAGGGGCCCTGAGCTAAGGAATGCAGGCAGCCTCTCAGAGGTTCTCAACCTGTGGGTCGCAAACAACCCATTCACAGGGATCACCTAAATGCATCCTGCTTATCAGATATTTATATTACGATTCACAACAGTAGCACAGTTACAGTTATGAAGTAGCAATGAAAATAATTTTATGGTTGGGGGTCACCACAACATGAGGAACTGTATTAAAGGGTCACAGCATTAGGAAGGTTGAGAACCACTGCTCTAGAAACTGAGAGAGGACAGGGAAACAGATCCTTCCCCAGGGCTTCCAGTGGGAAGCAGCCTACCAACACTGCTACTTAAGGATTTCCACTCTCAAGAACTGAAGATCACAAATGTGTGTGGCTTAGAGCTCTCATCAACATAGGAGATGAATACCATCAGTGCTGGTACCAAGGTTATAAGATGAAGTTTGGGGCAGGGTTGACAGAACTTGCCAATGGGTCAGACATAGGCTGACGAGTGCAGGGGTGGACCCCTGAGGGACCCCCAAGTTTCTGGCCAGAGCAGCTGGTCCGATTCATCAGGACAGAGAGCAACTACCATGTGGAAGAAACCAACAATTCACTCTCTTCTTCTCTACCCATTCCCTAGGAGAATCTTTCCCACCACTGGCCATTTCCCTGGGTGGGAAGTTATTTCCCTCAGGCACCAGACGGGACTTCTCACAGCCCCAAGTACACTCAAGAAGCAGCCAGGGTGGAGCTGCCTTAGACCTGCCTGCTTTTTTTTTAATCTCCAGGCATAATTGGAGAGTCCAAACTGGTGGCATCTAGGTGGCCCCGGATTATTTTTGCTGGGAGAGAAAAGAAAGCATAAAACAGGAAGGCCAGAGAGCAGGAAGACTAATAACAATGTTATAATGTGGCTGCTTATTAAATGCCCCAGAACGGTCCTTCCTACTGACATGTGGCGACCATATTTTGCGGCGGCCTTGGGACTTGGGGCTTCATAAAGGGCATTCCATTTTCTTTTAATACCTTTGAAAGACCTTCTGATTTGTGAATTTCTTTAGGCGAGCCTACATTGAGTTGTATGTTTTAATAAAAGCAGTTCATGGAAATAATAAAATAAAAGTATATCAAACCAGGATTGGCTAGGCAGCCCACACTGGCCCTCCTATAAAAGGCTAATATCTCAGAGCTGCCTCATAAACCCTGCCCCCACACGTCCTACCCAGGGTCACAGCATACAGAAAACAATTCCCAAGTTGACATTTAATTCATATCACATATCAGTAAATATCTGTTAAATATAACAGCGTGCAAGAAACAACCATCTAGTTGTTACTTAATTAAAGACATAACAATAAATGGACAGCCCCTACTTCAAATCTCTGGCTGCCTATTTCATAGCTATATCACTTTAAGTAAGTTTGTTGCACTTACTGGTTCCTGGTTTATCCACGTCTGCAAAACACGGATGTTTATTTCCAGTATGCACATTCAAATATTTACACAAAATGTTCACTGATTGACTTATATGCCTAGCAGGCTCTGTTTCTAAGCCTAGGTCTCTTCTCCAAAAGGGAGGCAAGAACCCCTTCATTCTGCTCCCACTGTCAGGTTTGTCTTAAGGACTCAATCATAAAATAAAATAGTGAGGGGAGAGAAAATGATCCCAGGTCTGCACTGCTCTAACACCAGGCGGACCCGGCGCCGCCCCCCGCAGGTGTCTGGAACCTGCATCCCCTTTCGCCTCCGCGGCTGCCCCTGGGCGCCTCCAGGAGCAGCCGGAGGTCCTGCGCCTGCGCAGAATGCTAGTGGCGCCAGGCCCGCCCCTTGCAGGGTGTGACTTCCTTGAGTGGCTTGGTTCGGTCACGCCTACTTCCGGAAGGGGCGGCCGAGGTTTGGGACACGTGACTATGTTCCGGTTCCCCAAAGATGGCGGCGCCCAGAACTGTAGCGTGAAAGTTGTCGGTGGGAGACGCTGTCCAGTTTTGCCGGAATCAAACCGTGCGCCATGTCGCGACTGATCGTGAAGAACCTTCCGAATGGGGTGAGTGAGGAGCCAAGACTTGGAAATACGAAATCCGACCAGCCTGGAATTGTGGGCTTGGGGAAAGATGTAGCTGGAGAGACCGAGGGATTTTACCCTCTGGAGCAGAACTGCGGGCAGATTCGGAACCTAAAAGGGCAAGATGTTGGGCTTATTCCCATTTAACTACTGAGAAAGAGAAGTGACCGCTTAAGTTTTCACAACCAGTGGGTGCCTGACTCTCACCTCCACAGGTCTTTTCCTAGTGAGGTGCCGAGTCCCACCTGGTGTCTAAAGTCTTGCTCCCGCAAGCTCTCCTGTCCAATCACTTTTTGTTGGTGTTGACCCATGTCCGGCCCAGACACTGTATTTATGTGCCTTCCCTACGCGGGAGACTGTTGGGGAGACCAATGGGGAATATTAGACTGAGGATCTGTGTTCCAATTCCTGGTCCTATTACTGAAGCAGATAGGAACACTGAGTGGGTATTTAAACCGTTTATCCAGTAAGTGAGGAATGGTGACCCAGCCATACTTTCTGTTCCCTGGAGCCCAGCACGAAAATGGCTTATGGTGGGCATGTATTAAAAAGGGGAAAAAAAAAAAAAAAAGCCCAGGATAAATGAATGAAGAAAAAGGTGAATGAATGAATGATGTATCTATTGGTTGATTGGATGCAGTATGCTCTAGTGATCATCTTTTTTTTCCCCCCTTTGGAGACATAGTTTCACTATGTCACCTTTAGTAAAGTGTTGTGACGTCACGGCTCACAGCCACCTCAAACTCTTAGGTTCAAGCAGTTCTCTTGCCTCAGTCTCCCTAGTAACTGGGACTACAGGATCCTGCCAAAGCGCCGGCTATTTGTTTGTTTGTTTGTTTAGCAAGCCCACTGGGTTGAAATCCACCATCCCTGGTGCATGTAGCTGGCACCCAAACCCCTGAACTATGGGCACTGAGCCTAGATGATGTTTCTTGAAGACTTGCTTTGTCAGATGAGGATTTTACCTTGGCTACCAGTCCTTTCCCTCTCAACTCCTACTTTTTTGTATTTCTCAATGTGTGTCATTCTGTTATCATTGTTTGTCTTGTCTAATGAATGAAATAATTATAGCTAATACTCTGAGTCTTTACTGTGTCCCAAGCACTATTACAGGTGCTCTAAGTAAAGTAACTCATTTAATCCTAACCATAACCCTGTGAGATAGGTTACATTATTGTGCCCATTTTAAGGGTAAAGAAACTAAGGTACAGCAATGTAAAGGGATTTGCCCAAGGTTATATATAGATGGTGCTTGCCTGCGGTTACGTACAGATGGTGATTTACAGAGGAGGGATTGCATTGAGCAGTCTGGTTCTAGAATTTGCCTTCCTGACCACCGTACCATACATTGTCTTAGCATGATTGCTTACAGTGGTTTTAATTATTTTTCAGCAAATACACATTTAGTAGTGAGTACTGATAATGTTGCTGACATTGTAGACAAATGGATAAATGGTCCCCACTTTTATGGAGCTTACAGTCTAATGAAGAGACAGACACAGTACAAGGAATTGAAGTGTAAACTGAGTGGTTTGGAAGCACAGAGTCAGTTGGTTATCTACCCATCTGAGGTGTCTAAGAAAGTCCTCCTAGGGGAGGAGGTAATTGAACTGAAAATTAAGAGGAGTTAGCCAGGCCCTGCCTGGGAAGATGTCACCCAGAGGGGACAATCAAAGTAAAACCTCAGAGGTGAAACACATGAGGAGTTTGGCCTGGTGCTGAAGAGATGAGTTAGGGCTGGATCAACACATGGGAAATCTCGTGTTACCCATTAGGTGTCTGTCCTTGAACCTTTGGTACCAGAAAGTCACCAGAAAGTGTTTGGCAGGGAAATGATGGGCTCAGACTTGAGTGAGGTCCCTCCCAGGCAGTAGGTACTTGAATTCACTGTCTTTTATATATCTGAGTCACAAACCCTGATTCTGCAGACCTTGGACAGATCCTTCATCCCCTGAAGTTTGATTTTTTCCTTCTTTAAAATGTGGGTTAAAATTCCTAACCCATAGAGTGATTGAGATTTTGATAGCACCAGAGTTATTAAGAAGCTGCCTCAGAAAATGTAGTTCTCCCTCAGCCTCACTGCCACACACACGGATCTGCCAGTATCTGCTTAGAAAACTCACTGAGTTGTGAGGGTAGCCTTACTGGAGTGAGGATGGTGGGAAACCATGGGCCAGCTTTACGAAGTGTGGGCTTCTTGACCAATTTATAATAATACTAACATGTTCATTTCTTAGTGCTGCTGTAACAAAGTATCCTGCACTTAGTTGTTTAAATAATACAAGTTATTTTATAGTTAACTGTAGTTTATAGTTTACATTCTAAAATCAAAGTTTTAGCAGGGCTATGGTCCATCTGGAGGTTCTAGGGGAGACTCTTTGACTTTCTCAGCTTCTAGAGACCACCTGCCCTGCCTGGTTCATAGCCACGTAGTCCATCTTCACAGCCCATTTTCTAATCTCTCTGCTTCCATGTTCTCTAACTATCCTACCATTCCTCCCTCTTACAAGGGTGCTTAAGGCGACCCTGAGGGCCTGGCTGGATAAACCAACCTAATCCCATCTCAAGATCCTTAATTTAATCTCATGGGCAAAGGTCTCTTGCTGTATAAGGTGACATATCCAGAGGTCCAGAGGTTCCAGGGATTAGAGTGTAGACATAAAACCCTTTGGGGTACTCCATTGTTCTCTCTACTGCAGTCAGCAAGCATTTATTTATACAGTACATCATGTTTCTTCATTCGTTTCTTCAGACAGGCACTTATGACATATCTACTATTTAGCAGCCACAATACCGCTTCTATAATCAGTCTTATCCTCCTCACAGTCCTATAGGGTAGGGAGGTGGCATTTGCAGCTGTTGTGACTCTTGGTTTCTGCACCAGGGAGAAACTTTCTCAGGGCCCTGGCTAGTGGGTGTCAGAGCCAGAGCTGGAACCTGGCCTACCTAGAAATGTTTTCAGCCTGTTTTGTCCCTTTGCTCTGGAGACTCCCCAACTCCTCCCTCATTTCACATCCATCCCTCTGTCCTAGATGAAGGAGGAGCGTTTCAGGCAGCTGTTCGCTGCCTTCGGGACATTGACAGACTGCAGCCTGAAGTTCACCAAAGAGGGCAAGTTCCGAAAGTTTGGCTTCATTGGCTTCAAGTCTGAGGAAGAGGCCCAGACAGCGCTGAACCATTTCAACAAGAGTTTTATTGACACGTCCCGGATCACAGTGAGTCAGCAGGAGTCTCTCCCTCGCCTGTGGAAAGTAACGCCACTCGATCTTTCATCCAACACTCTTTCCCACCTGTTCACACTCTGGCATATGCATAGCAGTCACCTGAGAGCTGGTTTAAATCATTTCTTGAGCATGTCCCCAGAGCTTCTGATTCAGTGGGTGGAAATGGGATCCAAGAGTGTACACATCTAACAAGCCCTCAGGTGATATCTGTGCGGCTGGTCCACGGACTGCACTTCAAGAAGCACTGCAACATCCATTCACTCATTTAGCAAGCACTCGATGGGCCCCCATCAGTGCTTGGAATTTAGAGAAAAATGCACTACCACAGCCCCTTTCCTCATTGAGCAGCCACTTTGGCTTGCAGGCAGGCAGGGGCTCCACAGCTAACAGGCTGCCTTTGTTCAGTGTCATCAGTGAACAGTTGAGCACCAGGGACTTGGGAGAACAGAGGAGGCCTCTACCCTGGCACAGGAAGGGATCAGGAAAGCGTCCTGCAGGAGGAGGTCCCACTGGCATCACTCATGTGCATTTAACGACCCTGTGAAACATCTCTAATACTTTGTTGAGGAGGAAAAAACAGATAATGGACAAGCACACACATGTGTCATGTGGATCCAATTCATACATGTGATATCCCTCCATCTGTAGGTGTGTAGAATATCCATAGAAGGCCATATGGCAGGAGTTTTACCAAAATATTAATAATACTCTTCTCTCTGGGTAATAGAAATTGAAGTACTTTTTTTTTTTTAACTTTCACTGAATTTTTTTCTATTTGAAATTTATATCATGAGCACATATTATTACAGAAGCAACAAACCTATTTTGAAAGTCCACTCAAAAGGAGTGTAACCAGATGGCAGCCCCTTCCCCTACGATCAGTGATTGACTGACGTGTCAGCCTTCACTGTGGCTGGGAGTGCAAGGCAAGCGCTCCCAAGGTCATCTCAGAGGAGTGTGTTGAGGTGTCAGAGCCAAGCTTGCTCTCCAGCTTTCTTCTGTGTCCCTGTGGTCACCTCATTTTTCCTGGAGTTCTTCTCTGGGGTCAGGCACGCTCTTCTCATGCTAAGTAAATGATCTTGGCAGCCACTGCTCCTCCCCCATTGCCCTGCCCAGACCCTGGCTAGCACTTGGCCTGGGTCATCTCATGCTATCTTCATGGCCACCCCTTTATAGTGGGTGGTTATAAACTCAGGTTTAAAATGAGTCCAGAGACTCCCTGAGTTCAGGTCTCTACTCTGTCACTTACTGCCTGGGTAACCCAGGGCATGTGACTTTACTTCTTTGTGCTTCGATTTCTTGCTCTGAGAAGTAAGGAAAGGGAAGCTCAATGTATTAATACTCACGGAGTACTTAAGACAGTGTCTGGAATTCCTCTGTAAGTTGCAGCTATGATAACTGCAATGTTACTGACTCAGAACAGCAGGCTATGATGAGATTGCATTATAGACTTGAAGGAACTGAAAGCCAGGCCTCAGAGTTGATGTATAATTTGCTCCAACTAATTCAGCTGGTCAGTGGCAATTGCCTGTTTAAAAAGCTCAAGCCCTTAGGTGCCAACAGGCAGTCCCTCATTTGCACACCCAGGGCTGGTGTGCAAATCACTCTCTTTCCCACACAGGTGGAGTTCTGCAAGTCATTTGGAGACCCAACAAAGCCCCGGGCCTGGAGCAAACATGCCCAGAAACCAAGCCAGTCCCAGCAGCTTCCAAAAGACTCCTTTGTTCCAGAAAGTAAGAAAGTATGTATGAGGTCACTCAAACCCCATGTCCCCAGTGTTAACAATGTGGTCACTTTCTGGGAGGGAAGAACAGGGACTCCCTCTTGGTTCCTGAAGTTGGGACCTCTCGGGGCATTGCAGTTGCATTTCCCTCTTGTCACCTGCCTGACCCTCACCATCTGTGCTTTCTGCTTTCAGGGTGACAAGAAGAAAAAGGTGGCAGGTGATCTAGAGAAGGTGAGTCTGTCCTGCTGCCCAAGAGGGAAGGGGGGGTGGCCAGGACAAAGTGGCAGTTGGCCCAGGCAGGAGAAGGCCATGCTGCTGGTCTCTCTTGCCTGTGGCCATGGCTTCTTAGTTTTGTCTGGTGAGAATCTGCTCTGGCTTCCTTGGAACTGACCCTTGGGGTCCTCTAGGCATTGGGGGAAATGAGCATAGAGGATCTTTTAGAAGTTAAAAAGTTGTCCCAACTGAGCCTTCTCTGCCTCTTCTCCCTCTTCCTATGTCCCTGCTACTTGGACTCTGGTGCTACCAGCTGAAGGAAGATAGTGAGTTCCAGGAGTTCCTGTCAGTTCACCAGAGGCGGACGCAGGCAGCCACTTGGGCAAACGATGCCCTGGACGCTGAACTCTCAAAAGGGAGGGGCAAGCCAGCCAAGGACTACCTGAACTTCGACTCTGACTCAGGGCAGGAGAGTGAGGAGGAGGGTGCTGGAGAGGACCTGGAAGGTGAGGGCAAGACGTGTGTGCCCCGTGTGCACGGGCCTGTACTTGCCATTAAGCTGATGGGCACTGGGGCTCCTCTGTGCCAGACCCCAGGGGGTGGGTGAGCCGGAGACTGCCCTGCACCTCAGATGGTGGGAGTGATTATCCTAGCCCAGTCTGCCTTGACTGGTTCTTGTCACTTTTTCATTCACTTGGTCAGTTGTTCAACAAATCTTCATGGAGCACCTATACTATATACCAGGTAGCCTTCAGGCACTGAGGCCAGAGCAGTGAGCAAAACACAGGAATGTCTGCCCCCACAAGCTGCATTTCTGGTGGGGGTGAGCGACATTAAGCAGATAAGCACAGGTTGTTGGGTGTGTCAGTGATGGTGAGTGCTGCAGAGAGTGGAGGCAGGAGAAGGGGGGTGAAAGGGCAGCCTTTGTCCTCACAGGGGCTCTCAGTGTGGAGCAGACTGAGGGGCGAGTGAGCAGTTACAGCACAGAAAGTACGAGCCGGGGCAAAGGTTGGGAGTCCATTTTGGTCTAAAGGTGACAGCATGTGCATTTAACACAAGTGTCACACCTGGGAGAGCTGCTAAGATCCGAAGGACTCATGGGACTTGGTGGGACACTGTAAGGGACAAGAGAGGAAAGGGGTTCCAGGCAGAGGAACAGTGTTGCAAAGGCACAGAGGAAAGGGAACCCTGGGCTTGTGGGGATGGATATGAGTTAGGGCGGGCATGGCAGGAAGAGACAGGGCTGGGAGAAGAAACCAGGCAGCTTGCTCAGCCTCAGCAGGAGGAGCTTGGGTTTCACCTCGAGCTTTTGGAAACCACTGGAGGGTGTTAAGCAGAGAGTGACAGTCCCATGCATACTATCAAGACATCATGGAGGCTGCAGGATAAAGAAAGGACTGGAAGGACAAGGCTGGTGGCAAGAGGCCAGCAGCTCTCCACTTGTGGCATGTAGAATGTCAGAACTGCAGTAGCCTCACCCCATTTGGCATTGATTATTAGAGGACTTGTCTTGTCTGCTGGGTACAAGCCCTGGTCATAGTGGGCATGGTGCCTCACACCACTTGCTAGAGGGCATCTCTGGCTTGGTCACACCTGCCACTGATCCCCGTCTCCCTGTTCTTCCAGAGGAAGGAGGCCTTGAACCCAAGGCAGCTGTGCAGAAGGAGCTGTCGGACATGGATTACCTGAAATCCAAGATGGTAAGGGCTGAGCTGTCCTCTTCCTCAGAAGAGGAGGAGAGTGAAGACGAAGCTGTGAACTGTGATGAAGAGAGTGAGGCCGAGGAAGAAGATTCCTCTACCACCCCAGCACTGCAGGACAGAGAGAGCAGAGGACCTGGCCAAGCTCAAGGGGGGCCATCTGGGAACAAGAGAGCACAGGTGGCCAGAGCTGAGGTGTGTGTGTGCCTGGGGGGGTATAGAGGGAGGGGGTCGGCTCATGCTTGCCTGTGGTCTTGTAGCTCCTTTGTTAGTGGACTGTGACATAGAGGAGAGACAGCTCTATAGTCCATAGCCCCTTTGTTGGGGGAGTGTCACTTAGAGGAGAGACACAGCTCTCAACCCTGCCATGCCTGCATTTGTCCTCTCTTAGTTTACTGCCTGTTGCTAACCTGGAGAGGTTGCCTGCCTTCTGGAGTCATGGGGCAGAAATAAGCTGAGCAATGGCTGGTAGCCTTTTTCCTTTGTGTTTAGAGACAGGGTAGGCAGAGGGAAGTGAGCTGACATTGATAAGAATAGAGAAGATCTGGGCTAGGTATAGTGGCTCACACCTGTAATCCTAGCACTCTGAGAGGCCAAGGTGGGAGAACTGCTCAAGGCTAGGAGTTCAAGGCCAGACTGAGCAACATAGCAAGAAGCCATTTCTATAAAAAAAATACCATGTTTCCCCGAAAAGAAGACCTACCCCAAAAATAAGCCCTAGCAGGATTTCATGCATTTGTTGAATATAAGCCCTACTCTGATAATAAGACCTAATGATGGGTGTGTCAATGCAGCGTATCTGCATAGCCACGCCATGCATTTCAGCGCAGAGCTGTAAGGAAGACTGGAATACCTTTTATCTACCACATCTCCTTTCTCCAAGCTGCGCACTTGTGCAGGTGCACATGTGGTAACCACAGTCACAGGCATCCTATTGCCCCTGGGCGAACGGCTAGGGGAAAGGAGTTCACACATCACTAGCACCAGCCCCACCAACAATATCAGCTCCCCTTGTCAGGTTCCAGAAGAAGATGACTTAACTGTATTTGAATAAATGTAGATTATTATAATATACTTAATAAAAATAAGACATCCCCTAAAAATAAGCCCTAGTGTGTCTTCTTGAGAAAAAATAAATATAAGACAGTGTCTTATTTTCAGGGAAACACAGTAGAAAAATTAGCCAGGCATAGTTGGGGCTCTGTGCCTACCTGTAGTCCCAGCTACTCAGGAAGCTGAAGCAGGAAAACTGTTAGAGCCCAGGAGTTTGAAGGTTTGAGGTTGCAGTGAGCTGTGACGGCACTGCTACTCTCTAGCTTGGACAGAGTAAGACTCGGTCTCCAAAAAGAAAAAAGCTCAGTTGAGTTGAGCACTTACTCCACACTAGGTACCATACCTGCATGTCATTGAATCTCCTTCCATTTTACAAATAGGGAAACTGAGGCCTTCTAGAGAAGGGCAGTGACTTGCCTAAGATCATAGCTGGGAAGGGGCGATGTCAGAACTCAGACCCAGTTCTGGAGGGGCTGAGTCTATGGGCTCTGGAGTCTGGATTATAAACACAGGTACTACCCTCGAGGACAGCCATCTGGTCTCCCACCTGGGAGTCCACTTTGATTCAGAGATGGGACAGGTTAACACATTGCCCAGATCCCCATTCCCTCCTCTCCCCATGGGGCCTCTTTGAAGGATCAATTCTTCCCCTGCCCAGCCTTGTATTTTCAAATGAGACAGAGGAGTCATCCTCTTTTCTCTTTCCTCTTCCTTCATCTTCTTTCTTTTTCTGCCCCTTCTAATTACCACACACTGTCCTTTTTTAAAAAAAAAAAGAAGAAGAAAAGAAAAATGTGTATTTCAGAGAGGTAGCAGAGTGTGGTGAAGTCAAGAGTTAAGGGTTCAAATCCCGGCTCTGACGCTTGGTAATCTTTGGACCTTAGGTAAGATATTTTACTTTCCACAGGTCTACTCATCTATAAGATACTCATGTGGCACTGGTTTCTGCTGCTGGTTTCAGAACCCCCTATGTCTAAGGATACGCTTAGAATGCAGAACTTCTCATTTCAGGAAGATGAGCCTGGGTAGCACAGCACCCCCAGCAGGACATGGGAAGCATATTACTATTTCTGCAGTGAAGCCTAAAGGACCACTTGCTCTACATAAGCTATGAGTTGGTTCTTGTCAGCTCAGGGCAGGTTTTGCTGGGAAATTAGTTCAAGTTAGGGCAGGTTTTATTGCCAAAAGAGTTATCAAAAACTTAGGTTTTTCAGAGCTATCTGGATTCTGAAATTATGAGAAAACACCTTGAACCCTTGTCCCTATGGAATTACTTTAAAGATGGGACAGTAGGTAGGACAGTGGCATCTGCAAAGTACATCTGCAAAGTACAGGGTTTGGTATGGGTGGGCCCTGAATCATTGGTAGCAAATATTACTATAGTCCCATCCCCTCTGTCCCTCCTCGTGGCCCCAGGGCCTGTGTTAATGTTTCCATGGCTTGTTACGCTGTGATTCCAGCCCTCATCTCAGGTACAGGTAGAGGTGTGGCAGTTCCCACATCCACCACTGGCCAGCGTCTCCAGCCACTGCCGGCACCCGTGCTCACTGGCATTCCCAGGCTCGCCTGGCAGCAGACACCTCCCCCAGCAATGAGGTGTCCTAGTCTGCCACTGCCTGCAGCTGGCTACTCACTGTGGTCATTTCTGTTTCTTGTGGTCACTCAGGCAGAGAAACCAGCAAACCAGAAGGAGCCCACCACCCCACACACTGTGAAGCTGCGAGGAGCCCCGTTCAATGTCACAGAGGTATGTGCCAGCTGAAGACAAGGGCCAGGAAACCCTGTGGGGGCAATAGATGAGGGCAGGGGTGATAGAAAGAGGCTTTGCTGCATGGGGGGGATGAGGAGCAGTGGAGGACATGAACTAGAAGGAATTGGGGCCAAACAGGCTGATAGGTAAGACCCCAGGCATTGCCAGGGTCAGGAGACAGGAATAGCTGCACCGTGACAGAGGGCTGATTTTACCCACTGATAATCTATACCAAGGGTGGGTCAACTTCCGGGCTAAAGGAGGGAGGCCACTGGTAAATAAATTTAAGACCTTGTAGTCAATATGTTCTCTGTTGCAACTATTCACCCTGTTACAGTAGGGAAGCAGTCTTCAACAGTAGGTAAATGAATGATGAGGCTATGTTCCAATAAAACTTTATTTACAGAAAACAGGCAGGGTGTCAGATTTGGCCTATTAACTGTCATTTGTTGACTGGGTCTACAACAGCAGAGACCATTGCTTTAATTTTCCTACTATAAAAGTAATACAAATTCAGTATTTATTTTTTTTAATGTAGGTAAATAAAAAATATAAAAGTCACCTATCACTGGGATGACTATATGCATTATTATTCTAAGTTGAGACTGAGGGGGTGCTAGCTGGCTGTGGTGCCAGGCTGTGAGAGTGATCACTGCAGGTCTAACTACTACAGATGTAGGGACTGACTGTCCCAGGCACATGGGGACAGCCCTACCCAAACTACTGATACATTTGGGGGATATCGCCTTTGACATTTTTTTAATGTGTAAATGTTGGCCTCTGTCTTTATTTTTCAAAATCTAGGAGCTATTTGGAAACCATCACAATTAGCCATAAATCAATTTGACTATCGAATCTACTCTGCTATAAGATCGTTTATGTTGCATGCCCTTCTTTAGTCAGGATGCCCTTTTGATACACCTACCCAAGCCCCTAAATTGGGACACGAGGGTCATTTCTATTTCAGGCTTTGTAAGCCATATAGACACTGTCGTACATTCTTCCTCCTCCTTTTTTTTTTTTTTTAAATGTTTTAAAAGTGAAAAAAAAAAAAAAACATTCTTAGCTTGTAGGCTACATGCAGTAATCGGTTTGTGGGCCAGTTTGCTGATCTTTGCTGCTGATAGTCTATGTAAGCACATGCATGTACATTTTTAAGTCTTTGACACAGAGTGTCAGTTGCTTTCTGGAAGTTTGCTAATTGATGCTCCCTCCAGCAGACCATAAGAGTGCCTATTTCCCTGAACCCTCGGTATTTTAATGTTTTAATCTTTATCAATATGACAGGCAAAAATAGTACAGTAAAACCTCCATAGTTGACCACCTTCTTAAGTTGACTTAATTTTAATAGATGGGACACGCACCACTTGTACGTATCAGTACAACAGGCCTAGTTCCTTATGTTGACCACCTCTGTGTGTGGACCAGTTTGTTATGGTCACTTGCGTCATCAACTCACAGAGGTTCTACTGTATTTCATTTCAATTTATATTTTAAATTATTAGTGAGATCGGTCATAAAAATCAAATATTCATGCTTTAATGAGAAGTGAAAAAAGCCAGATTTAACTTCCAAGTATATAAAAAAGATACTGAGGGGGAAAAACATCATATTGCCTTAAAATGCTGAGGGTGATATGACTATTCACTATTTCATGTTTATATTGCTCATTTTTCCTCCAATTTTTTTCAAGTTTTTTCCAAGGCAATTTTATTTTCTAATGGAGACAAGATGTATATAACTTAAAGGAAGAGAAAAACTGTAAAGGATGAAATACTCTAATCCTTTCTCATTCAGCGGTTTGCTCTGTGTCTGTTTTTATTAGGTTAAGTTTTCGTTATTGGCTTGATAAAGGGGAAAAAATTTTTTCTTTTTACAGAAAAATGTTATGGAATTCTTGGCACCCCTGAAACCAGTGGCCATTCGAATAGTGAGAAACGCTCATGGGAACAAAACAGGTAAGATCTGGAACCTTTCTGGGTGGGAAAGACAGAAGGTGGGGCCTCGAATGAGGGCTGGGGAGAGGATTTAAGGGCAGTGGGTTTTTCCCGTTTGTGGTGCTTATTTCTGTGGATGTGGTTGAAGTGGTCAGGGCGAGGGTCTGTCTCTTCTCCTTGCCTTTGTTAGCCTGGTGTATAGTGATGGAGTTTTCACCTGTGTTTCTCTTCTCTCCCCTCCGCCACCTGCCCTTCACTTAATCCAGTGGGCACAGCTATTGTGCCAGAACTGTTGCTGACAGGTCCTGGGGTCTGCTGTGCCACCCTCTCCCCAGGTGGCATGGGGCAGCCTGAACCCTCTTGGCTTTAGGTGAGGGTAGCAATGGGACTTAGGGTGGCCCCAGACTGGGTTCTGCAGTGAGTGGGTTTTTGGCCATCCTCCAGGGAGGATCAGCAGGAGTCTAGACTGGAGTGGCTTTGGAGGGGAAGAGCAGGTGGAAAGAGGTGGAGGATGTTTTTGAGGATAGATAAGGTGCCTGGATGTGAGAAAGGAGAGCATGGAGGAATCACAGAGAAAGAATCTAAACCACCTTATACTAGGGGCAGAAAACCCATGGACTTTGGACCAAGTAATAGATGTGCCACCTATTACCTGTGTATCCTTGGGCACATTACTTATTGCTCCAGAAAAGCAAGGGTCAGCCACTGCCCTGCTGCCTCATGAGGTTTAGGCCAGTGAGCTCAGCATGTGGAGGCCCCTGTATTCAAGGAGAGACTCCCAATGTGCCTGTTTCTGTGCTGGTTGGGGCCGTGAGTGCTCGGGCAGAGTAGTGGTGGCAATGGCTCCTCCCGTGCTGAGCTGGGCTACATGCTGCTGCCACAGGCACTTTTCCAGAGAATCCCTCGGAGCAGGCACTGCTTAGGCCAGGGGCAGGGGACATCAAGACCTCCTGTGCTTCTGACTCCTGAGGTCCAGCATTGTTACCCATAAAGTCAGGCCAGGATCTAAACACTTCCTGCAACGGGAAATTTGGTTGTGGGTGGGAAGGAGGGAGGGAGTCTGCTTATATTTTTGAGATCTGGCAAAGACAGAGGTTCTCCCCTATTTTTGCACCAAGCACAGCCTGGGTGCTCTCTGTGACCACACAAGGGTCTCTGCAGGGCCTGCAGGTTATACCTTTGTCTTCTGGCAGGGTACATCTTTGTGGATTTCAACAGTGAAGAGGAAGTGAAGAAAGCTCTGAAATGCAACAGGGAATACATGGGTAAGGAGTGCTGGCCGGTGCCATCTCCGAGCCGACACAGGGCTCTTTCCTCCCTTAACTCACTCCATGCGTGGTGAGTGTCTGCTCTCTGCAGATACCGTTCTAGGCACTGGGGGTGCAGTGGTGAGCAGATAGCTGGAGTCCCTGCACTCCTGGACCTGACCCTGAATAAACTTACATGGGGGGAGACAGGTGATGATCAAATAGGTGAGCAAATATGTGGTCCATGCTGTGGGCAAACACAGAGTAGTCAAGGAAGGGGATAAGGGGAGGAAGCCCATCCTTTTTTTTTCTTTTTAATTCTCAAGAATGTTTCATGAGAGCAACAGCAAAATGCAGAGTGCAATGAAAGAAAATTGCAGTCATGCTTGTGGTAGGATAGGGCAGAGAATGCTTAAGACACTGAGCTGGTCTTCAAGAGGAGGCCTGTATTTAGACAGCATTGTGTCTGCTGGGGCTTCCCTGAGAGGCAACACTGGGACAGAGGTCTGGAGCCGAGGACACCAGCTCTGGATGTTCATTAGAGGGAAGTGCAAGTGCAAGTGCAAGTTCCCTGAATTGGGAGGTCTGATTGACACCTAGGGATGCAGTCTTGCACTAATCCCCGGCATGGACCAGTGACTTAGATCCCGCCCTCGACCCCTAGTGAAGACATGGGCTGTATTAGGGAGCATTAGAGACTTTATAACCTTAGCAAAGCAGGAGGTCCTTTCCCAAGACTTTGCCTTGATAAACAATGGTAGAGCATGTGCCCCAGAATTTAGAGGCTATGTCATGTCTGGGACAGCCCAGGCAAGCTGCTTTCAGGTGACCTGGCAGGGTGAGTGAGACCAAGGCCTTCCAGTTCAGGTCCGGCATTGGCTCAGGCTGCTGCCCTGGGTAACAGACTCTGGTGTCAGGTGCTATCATCAGCCACCTTGGCCATCTGGAAGGCAGTGGAAAACAGTTTGGAGTCGCTGGGAAGTGCCAACCTCCCTCCAGAGCTTTGAGTCCTCCCTTCATGCAGGTGGACGCTACATTGAGGTGTTCAGGGAAAAGAGCTCCCCCATGGCCAAGGGGCCCCAGAAGAGGGGCACCACACCCTGGCAAGGCCGGACGCTCGGGGACAACGAAGAAGAAGAGGACCTGGCTGACTCCGGGAGGCTCTTTGTGAGAAACCTGCCCTACACCAGCACCGAGGAGGACCTGGAAAAACTCTTCTCCAAATTCGGTAGGCATGAGGCCCTGGGGCTTGCTATCTGCACAGATGGCACTGTGCCCATGAGACCTGGGCTCTGGCTTAGAACACCCAGGGGTCAAGTCCCAGTCTGCAGACCAGTCCACCTTGCCTCAGTTTTCTCATCTGTAAAGTGGAACTAACTGTCCCAGAGCTGCTGTGAGGATTCTCGGGACAGGCACTCAGAAGGAACATCGCAGACATCTTTTGCTGTCTAAAAGCAAACTCTCAATTCTCATTCTAAACTCAGAAAAGATTCCGATATGTGTTTCCAAGGTATTCCCTGCTGACCACACTCTTGCTGCTCACTATTTGGAATTGAGTGACTGTGCAGATACGACAGAGTTGCAGGGCGGCCCTCAGTATCTGCAGGCTCTGTCACTGACGTCTGCTCACCCAGGCTGAGCATCCAGCCAGACTTGGTGGTGGGAGGGTTATGGCTGCTGCTGCCATGGTTATTTCTTAGGCCAAGAACTTGAAGTCTGTAGTTCGCCTTGGTCACCCAGTGCTGTATGTGTGGGAGGGTAGATACGTTTTAGAATGGGGAGATCTTGACACTTTTGAGATCTCCACATCACCCCACATCTATTTGGAGACCAGTTGTGGGCGTCAGAGGATCAGAGAGGTTGAGCCCCAGTGAGGGCCCTGCTATAGTGCAGGGACACTCTGAGGGGACCTGCCATTAGGCAAACTGGCCTGACTGCCAAGCTCATGTCCACTGCTGTCTTGCTCACCAGATCCTTCCCTGCAGGCTTGTGTCCTGACTTACATAGCAGGCCTAGGCTGGCTGGGAGAGGATTTGTCAGTAAACTGCAAGGATCCCTTTGGGAAGATAAAGACCCAGAGTGGGGATGTGATCACACTCTGGTGTTCAGAGTTGAAACCAGGGGAAAAGCGTATGCTTTCATTTGAGCAGATTAGTAATATTGTGAGAGGACACTTGTGTGGCACATGCTGTAGCCAGCACTGTGAGCACAGTATATGCACATTAACACAGTCCTCTCTCACAGCTGTCTGGGAGGCAGGTGCTCTTATTGTGCCATTTCACAGACAAGAAGACTGAGGTACATGGAGCCTTAGCGACTTCTGCAAGGCAGGCAACACATATGGTAGGTGGTGCAGCCAGGATCTAGCCCAGGGTGTGCCTCTGCCCTTAAAATGGCCACACAGGGGCTGTGAAATGACACCTGCCCCTTTGGGGGTTGGTTCAGGGTTGATGGGTTCATCATGTTCTTTCCTGAAGCCGAGCAGGGCCACAACTGACCCACAGCAGCAGCTCAGTGTTCTGGCCAGTGAGAACTTGTCCCTGCTTAATGGTCAGCGCTTTTCTCACCCAGAACTGGCACAGCCCCAGCCCACAGGTCACTGACGCTTCTCCTGTCCTCAGGTCCCCTGTCTGAGATCCACTACCCGATTGACAGCCTGATCAAGAAACCTAAGGGCTTTGCCTTTGTCACCTTCATGTTCCCTGAGCACGCTGTGAAGGCCTACACGGAGGTGGACGGGCAGGTGTTCCAGGTGAGGCTGCCCGTGGGCCTGCCGGGAGGCTGCTGGGCAAGCATGGTTGGGAGCAGAATGGTTGTGCATGCGTGCGTGCATGTGTATATACAGGTATCCATATTTGGGGTCTAAAACAACGCACGCTGGCATGCCAAGCTACCTCCTCACATGAGCTTCTAGAGAGTTAGCACTTCAGTGAGATCAGGGATCTGGTCTGCCCCAGTCACTCGTCAGGGGCACCTAAGATGGTATCTGGCACATAGTAGAAATTAACTGTTAGACGAGTACATTTCTTCCCTATCCCCAGAAATACTACCTTGGAAGAGGAATAAGCAAGAAAGGAATTTTGACATGGACGTATGAAAATGGCCACAAGAGAGTGTGAGAAACTCTTGTCTTTTTTTCCTGGCTCACCAAGTAATGTGCTTAGCATACATTCTTCAGCCCCTGGCTACCTCATCTCCTTTTTTCCTTTTTCTGATTAATTCATGATTTATGGATTCCCTGGTGGCTGCCAGGCTGGACGTGACTTCTGCCCACAGAGTTCACACTCTGTCTTACCTGTGCAGGGGCAGGGTGGCAGGTTTGAGGGGTTGTCTTACAGGCACTATTTATAAACTGATGGAAGTTTTGTTGTGTGGCCATATGACGTGGCCCTGTCACAGTTTTGGGTCCCTGTGTCAAGTGGGGAGAGAGTGGCCATGTGGTCGATCTTCCTGACCTCAGCGCTCCTGCCAGGTTATCAGCACTGAGTCCAGTGTCACACCGACATCCTTCGGCAGGATGTGGAGGCAGCTGCTTCTGCCCGCTTGAGGGCAGGGCTTTGGTTCACTGCCCTCCTGTCATCCCGCTCCAGGGCAGGATGCTCCATGTGCTGCCATCCACCATCAAGAAGGAAGCCAGTGAGGATGCCAGTGCCCCGGGATCATCTTACAAGAAGAAGAAAGAGGCCAAGGACAAAGCCAGCAGCTCCAGGTCCTTGCTGCCCACTAGTGCCTCAGAGCCCTAACCCTAAGTGTCTGTCTGCCCTTTCCAAACTGTCTGTGTTCTCTGACTCTTTCCTATGAATTTAGTCCCTGACCTTCCTTGGGCTTCAGTTTTCTCATCTGTGAAATGGCGAGAATAATGGTAGTACCTTATTTTTGTGGTGATGTGAGTTTTGAATGAGTTATTATGTATATGCAAAGTGCTTGGTTCCTGACATAGAGGAAGCACATCTCAAATGTTAGAAATTGCTTGTATCATCTCTCTTACCATCATTAGTCCTGGGGACTCAGCTCAGGGGGAAGTTAGAGAGGAAGACCCATAAGTACGTTTCTTACAGGTTTTGCCTCTGAAAAAGTATTTCCGTTATTCAGCAGCTGGCTCATTTCTTTGTTCTGTCTCTCAGCTCTCACAACTGGAACACACTGTTCATGGGGCCGAATGCTGTGGCTGACGCCATTGCACAGAAGTACAATGCTACCAAGAGCCAAGTGTTTGACCATGTGAGTGAGGACAGCCCTACCTCCCTCCCCTAGTTCTAAGCCAAAGAGGTGAAGGAGTGGGAATGAAGGGAGGGCCGTCTGAGGGGCCAGGGCCTCTGAGGCTGGAGTAATAGGTATCCTCTTGGGCCCCCCTAGAGGCTTCTAGGACGGGGGTGGCCTCTCCTGCCTTCCTCTGGAACCATCCCCATCCAGACTCTAGCCCTGGCTTCTTGTACACAATGTGGAGTCACCCCAGAGGTTGTGATTGGCAGGAGGTCTAGAGGATATTCCTTGATGCAGTTGTGCCACAGACATTAGTAGGTGGCAGTCCTCACAGCGGCTCTGTGGAGTAGGAGCTCTTATGTCTCCACCATTAGATGAAGAAACTGAGGCCCAAGGGCCCAATGTAACTTGCCCAGCATCACAAACCTGACAAGAGGCAAAGGAAGGAGGGTGCCAAGTCTGCCCAACTCAGAACCCTCACCTGAGCCACATCACACCTCCAGGAGGTGTATCTGCTTACTCAGCCTGGGCAGCCCAGATCTCCGACGTCAGGGGAGGGGTCCCTGGGCTCTGTCCCTCCTCTTCTCCCAAGTCCAGCCTTAGTTCTCTGACTTTTTCTTCATCCCTGTAGCTCCTCCACTTCACATACCCTTTAAAATATTTATTGTGCAGAAGGTGTACAACGAGATGTTTAATACATACATAGTGAAGTGGTTACTCTGGTTCATCAGATTAACATACCTGAATAAGGCACAGTTGCCCTTATTTTTGGGTGCCAGAGCACATGAAATCGACCTTTAGTAAAAATCTCAAATGCAAAACAGTGTTAACTGTAGACCGGTAGATGGTGTTTTGTAGGTTAGAGCTCTACACTTTTCTGTCCTGCATGTCTGTTACTTTGTATCTTTTGTGGGCTTTGTGCTTCTATAGAAGGATACTTTCTAAAAGTATACTCTGTATGAAGTATTTGTCTATAAAGTACAAAGTATACTTAGTATAAAGTACAAATACACTCTGTTCATTCGCCATGTATATCATTTTAAAACTACCAGTGTATCTGGAATTTGATGGTGGCTTAATTTATCTGAGGCAAAAACCTGGGAGTGTTTTTCATCACTCAGAAAGGACACCCGTGGATTTGGCCCATAAGTGCTTTGAGCCATCTTTGTCCACCCCTTCTCCCCAGAAACTCAAGGTCAGCACTGTCCTTTAGAAATGGAATGGGAAGCACAGGTATAATTGGAAATACCCTAGTGGCTGGATTTTTCAAAAATAAAAAGAATCAGGCAAAATTAATAGCAACATGTTTCTTTTAACTCAGTATGTCTAAAATATTATTTTGACATATGCATAATACACAAAAGTCACAAGCTACTTTATATTCTCTTTTTCTCACTAAATTTAGTGCGTGTTTTATGCTGAAAGCACTTTGGATGTGCTACCTTTCATGTGCTCAGTGCCTCCATGTAGCCTGTGACACCACACTGGGTAACACAGGTCTAGACCAGAGTAAGCTGTGTGCTACCCCTGCTCTGGGTCCCTGGAGTGCTCAGAGAAGGCAGTGGGGCTGACACAGACACTGGCCTCTTCTGCTAGGGCCTTCTGGTGAAGGATACTGACACATTAGCAGACACACAGTGTGGCAGGCCCAGTGGCTGCAAAGAACCGCAAAGTCAGTGAGCGGCAGAGGGTGTCCCTGGGAGGGTAGGCTGGACAGTAAAGTGACATTTGCTCCAAGCAGCAAGTGAGTGGCTCCAGGGGATGTGGGGTAAACTGTAGCCCTGGGGTGAGGGTGAGCTTGGCCTTGGGGGGAAGCAGAGATCCCTACGGCTGAGTGGGATCCATATAAGAGACGTGGGAACCAGAGCCATAGGCATTAGGTCCATGTTAGGAAGGTGAAGGGCATCAACGGGATCTGTGTCCACACAAGTTGTCCTCCCAGACTACTGGAGATGGGCGGGCAGACTTGTCACCACCTCACAGCCAACACGGGCCACCTTTCTTTTCTCCCACAGGAGACCAAGGGCAGTGTGGCTGTGCGTGTGGCCCTGGGGGAGACCCAACTCGTCCAGGAAGTACGGCGCTTCCTCATCGACAATGGGGTCTGTCTGGATTCTTTCAGCCAGGTGGGTCCCCTTTGCCTGGCTCAGCAAGCCACTCATGGTTTCACTGCCAGCCCCTGGAGAGCCCTGGGGATGCTGAGGGGTTTGAGGATCTGACCTTCTAAGGCTGTTGCCAGTTTTTATGTTTCCTAAATAAGAAAGGAAGAAATGTCACCAGAGGTCCAGATGAGTGGCCCATCTGGCCCATTTTGTCCCTCAGGAACTGTGTCCAAGAGGGCCACCTTATAACCTATGGTTTCTCCACACAGATCAGGGGCCCCCAGTATCCTGGTCCCACACCCAGTATCTTCTCAGAGTACCTGCTGTCAGTTCAGAAACTTGGACCCTGCTAGGGTCGGCCAGGGGAGGCTCAGCATCTTTGTATTCTCCACTGAATAGCACTTTGTAGGTTTGTGGATGATTCTGGCTTAGAGGGTCCTGTAAGACCCTGTAATATCTGCCTCTTCCATTTTATAAACTAAAATACCAAGCTCAGAGAGTGGAGAGGTGACTTACAAGGTCAGACAGTCCATCATAAACACAAACTTTAGGGCTTCTGACTCCTAAAATAGCCTTTTTGGTAGGGTTAAGGTCTTTACCAGACCTTAAATTTTTACCTCAAAATAGATGAACATGATGGATGGATGGGGGGATGATGGATGAATGAATGGATAAAATAAACAAATGTACTGATAGCTTTTTGTTAAGAAGATGAAAGCCTCTTCTAAGTCCGTGTGTGTTACTAGCTCATTTCGTTTATATAACAACAAGGTGAAAGCAACCCTCTGTGCTCCCATTGCACGGAAGGAACCACAGTTACAGAGAGGTGAAGTCATTTGTTCCAGACCATACAGCTTGTCTTCTCTGGGACTAGATTTGAGCACAGGCCTCCTGGCCCCAGAGTCTAAGCCCCCTAGTGTCACTCTCTGTGGCTTGAGTTGCACCTAAGAAGTCCCCCAGTGCCCAGCCCATCCCTCCTGCTCACCTCCCTCAGTCTTCATAGTAACCCTGAGGCCTCCATAGTCTGAACGTTACTGTTATTCCATCTTACAGGTGAGAAAACTGAGGCCCGCAGAAGGAAAGCAATTGACCCAAAGTTTCAGGATAGATTAATGGTGGATCTGAGACTCGTGCCCAGATGCTCCTGATGCCTGAATTTTTCTATTATATTTTATTGACTCTTTTATGCCCTCCAACATTCCTTTTTGTAATAGAATAATTGCTAACATTTACAGAGTGCTCATCTGCACTTTTACTGACCCATTTAATTAAACCTTTTCCTGGGGGAAGCCCGTGAAGAGGTGCTATGTCTTTGCTGTAGATGTGGGTGCAGAGACTCAGTTAAGTATGTGCCTCAAGGCAACATATCTCGTGTCTTCGTTTGGCTTCTCCCCAAAGCAGACTCTGAGACAGGGCAGAACAGAACACTAATGAGAAAGGGCAGAAGCCAGCATGGGGTGTGCTGATACCGCACGCAGCCCCTGAGCTGCCCGGAGCTCTGTCCAGAGAGAATCCTGTGAAGCTCACACCTCAGACTCATCGGACCCTAAGGAGGAAGGGTGCACCAACTCCTGAGAGGCGTGGCCCCTCTCCAGGGTGTTAAGTCCTTGGAGCTTCCTGCTGGCAGCAGGAAGGGCAGTCTACAGTTCCAGGGAAAAGCTCTTAGCACCAATAGACCCTGGCTATTGGGAGCTCTGGGAGGTGCAGCCAGAGGCTGTAGTCAGGCTCTGTCAAGATCTGTCATGGCTCAGAAGTGGTTGGGCTGGGATGTGACCCAGAGGGTGCAGCTCTGGAGCCTTGGGTATAACCCACTGGCAGAGCTGCCACAGCTTAGAGCCAGTGCCATGCAGAGAGGATAGTAGGTCCTCCTGGTTAGAGCCCTAAGTGCCTGGTTGCTGAGGTCTCAAAGAGGGTACCTTGTCCAGAGACCACCTCAGATCAGTGTCGTGTTGGTGTTGACTGGGGACTCTCCCTTTTCCTGTCCCATGTGTATTCATTTCTTCCCTGCAGGCTGCTGCAGAACGAAGCAAGACTGTGATTCTGGTGAAAAACCTCCCGGCAGGCACCCTGGCAGCTGAGCTTCAGGAGACCTTTGGCCACTTTGGCAGCCTGGGCCGGGTGCTGCTGCCTGAGGGAGGCATCACTGCCATCGTGGAGTTCCTGGAGCCCCTGGAGGCCCGCAAGGCCTTCCGAAACCTGGCCTATTCCAAGGTAGGGCTGCCCAGACCTGGAGGGGCTCTGGAGAAGAGTGCCGCCAGCTGTGCTGATAGCTTTCCCGTGGGAGCTCGGGCCGAAAACCACCCATCTTGATCATGAGTCTGAATTCTGTCCCCACCACCATCCCCACCCCAAGAATGTGTCTGGGTAGGAAGGACAGGTGAGGAAAGCTCAGAACCATCCTCCAGAAACACATCTCAGCCCCTTGCCTCCCTCCCCATGGCTCCCTTAGCTCAGGGATGTACCATCCAGTCTCTGCCTCCATCTTCAAATGGGTTCTGTTCTTTGTCTCAGATCCTCCTCTGTATTCTCTCATAAGGACACTGGTGATTGAATTTAGGGCCTGCCTGGATAACACAGGATGGTTTTGTCTAAAATCTTTCACTTTAATAACATTTGCGAAGACCATTTTTCCAAACAAGTTCACATTCACAGGTTCTGGTGGCTAAGATGTGGACATATCTTTGAGGGGCACCACTGAACCCACTGCATGTATCAGGCACTTTTACCATTTTACAGGCCTGGCCCCCTAATAATCATTGGAGGTAACATTTGTGTCCCCATTTTGCAGTGGGGGAAATGAATGCATCTTCTGCTTCCCCAGCCCCTTAACAGTGTCCAGCTGAGGCTCTGCCTACTAAGCTCTCATATCAGGCCAGGCCTGACCCTTAGCTGCCATTCTGTAGGGGGATCCCAGGAAATACTGGCACCACCCAGAGGGCAGAAACCCTCTTTCTTTCTGCTCTGAGAGGACATGCCGGTCACCAAAAAGGCTTTCTCTGTGTGTGAGCAATAGTTGAAGGGTACTGAGTAGGTGAGGCCTTCTGTTTGCTTTTTCTTTTGCTTTTGTTTTTTAAGAGATGGGTACTCTGGAATATAGTGGCTTGATCATAACACTGCAGCCTTGAACTCATGGGCTCAAGCAATCCTTCTATCTCAGCCTCTCAAGTAAGTGGCCCGATCAGCTTGTGCTACCATGTGTGGCTGACTTTTCTATATTTTTGTGGTGCTAGGGAGAGTGGGTCTCACAATGTTGCCCTACCTAGTCTCAAACTCCTGACCTCCAGTGATCCTTCCCCCTTGGCCTCCCAAGAGTGAACTTCCTCCTGAGAACTGCACTTTACTGGTGATCCTGCCTCCCTCTTTCCACTCCCCCTTTCATACTCTGGTTGGAGAAAATGCAAAAGGAGCTTTGGAGCCCCTACAAGTCCAGTGGCAGCAGAGACTCAGACCTCTCTCCTGTGCCCTGGGATGTGGCACAGGGGGTGGGACCCAAGTGTTGTTTGCAGGGATTTGTAGGCAGCACATGGAGTTCTAGGCTGCGCTCCTCATGGCTTCATTCCCCAGGTCAATCTCCTGTCCTCTGACCCTTGGGCTCTTCATCTGGGAATGGAACTAAGTCCCTCCCTGCCTCCTCTGCTACCCCCACTATCAGCCCTGAGTTGTAATGAGGACTCACAACACTGCCACCCCTTTATCTGCAGTTCCACCACGTCCCCCTGTATCTGGAGTGGGCTCCAGTTTGCGTCTTCTCCAGCGCAGCCCCACAAAAGAAAGAGTCCGAAGATGCAACTTCAGAACCTGCAGAAAAGGACAAAATAGAACCAAAACCCGGTGAGCACCAATTCAGAGGTCAGCAGCACTCAGGTGCAGGGAGGAAAAGGGCTGGGGGGCAGGAGATTTGTTATCAGCTCTGCTTTAGAGTTCTTTGCTCCTCTTGGAGACCAGTAGGTCTCAGACTCTTAAATTTTATAGACATGGCCTTAAAAAATAGTTGCACCATTAAAATTAGGGGTGCAACATAGGTAGTTTGCCAATTAAAGGTTGTAGGGGGGAAAATCTTAATAGCCTCTTACTAAGGACTCAGAACAGAGCAATGCAAACAACCTTCTTGTCTCCCAGTGGACCCTACAGCCCTCTGGGTGAGGGTGGCTGGTCCAGGAGGGAGATGTTTATTCTCAAGTGTCTTCAGAACTTCACAGAGCCCTCTGTTGTCCAGTGGCAAGCAACGAGAGGAAAGCAGTGGCCTCTGTAAGCCAGACAGGGCAGCCCCACCCTGGCTAATACTTCACAGGTGGGGAAGGAGGTGTCATTTGTATTTGAGGTAGAATAATTTTTCCTTGTTAGGACCATTCTGCAAACCCTAAGATCCCAGGACTCTCCTTCCTGAATGTTAGGAATGTCCCCCATCTATGACAACCTGGTACACCCCCCACACACACTCCCAGATCCCCACCTGTGGGTGAGATAACCCTCCCCACAAGTGAGAACCACTTAATCTAGGGACCGTGACCACATCTCAGAATCCAATACCTTTAGAAAAGCTTTGGAAAGGGCCACAGAGGTCATTTTACCCAGATGTTAAGATTTTGCCCATCAGTAATACCCCCCCACACACACATACACACAACAGGGTTTCCAGTTGTTTAGTTTATTAAAATAAGGATTTTTTTAAAAAGGTAATAATTCCCAGCTACTCTCTCCCTTGTTCTTATATTTAATGGAAAAAGAAAAACGTTTTATAGCAAAAAAAGAGTAGATTTGAGTAAAGGAGCATAATTATCCGATGTAAGATTTAAAGTCTCAGTTAAATTGAATAGATGTCACTGAACGTGAGCCTCCTACTCTGTCAGTCCTTCCCATTTTATCATTTCACTCAGGCCTGGCCCTGTAGTACAAGGCATGGGACGCACTGTCTGGAAGCCTGTTTGGTCAGGAAGTGACATGCTTCTGTCCCTTTGCTCTTTGAGGTTACAAATGTACCCCTAGTCCTGGAGTTAATGACTATTGGTGTAAACCTTTCAGAACCCCCCCAGGAGCTATGAATTGCTTTGTTCATAGTTTCCACTAGGATTCCCTTCAATACCTGCATATGCTCCCATCAAAATAATTCTCTTTCCATAGTCCTGGTTTGCTCTTGATGTGCCATCTCCCTAAAGTCATCATCTACTTCTGGTTTTCACTCCAGTTACTGCGCTGGAACCTAAGATTTGGGGGCCCAAAGTGTACCCTTCTTTCAAGCACAAAAGATAAGCCAGGACCGAAGGGCCCTGGAAACAATCCTGCAGGGTTGTTTAGGCAGGAGGTGCCTGGTGAAGTGACGGCGGTTATCCCCGTGGCTGCGCACCTTTCCCTATGAGCATCTGGCCCTTCTCTCTGTTCTTCTGTCAGTCACAATTTGTATTTATTCTGTTTGTTTGTTTTGTTTGTTTCATGTGCATCCTGGCCAGCTCCTGGGGGAAATTGCTGTGTGGTTTCCAGGAAGCAGCCTTCCTTGTCCTCACCTCACTCTGTCCCTGGGCAAGCAGCCGCCCTCCTCAAAGGCTCAGTTCCCATGTCTGAGGTATGGGGATGACAACCGCACCGGCCTCAGTGCTGTGTGGGTGTCAGCACTCCCCAGGTGCTGTGGGCAGCTGGGAGTCTGAGTCAGTGGATGGTCTTTAACCCACCACGAGCACCAGCTCTGGGCCTGCTGCTGAGCAGGGAGGACTAAGGTGGGCACAGCACAGACTGTCTTCTCCGGGAGCTCTCAGCTTGTGGATGTCACAAGGAGTAATAGCAGTGGCCCTGATTATAGAAAGGCCTGCAGCACAGGGAAGGGGGCTTCTTAGAGGTGGCTTCCCCTGGCTCCCCAGGCCTGTGTGTCGGTGTTGCCAGTGTCCCTGACAAGCTCTTCCTCTCAAAGGGGCTGATTCCAGGGCCAGACCATGACTCACACAAAAGAGGCCTTTGAGCCCAGCAGCCTTAGCTCCAGGAAGTTGTGCATGTCTGTGCTGCTGCCAAGCCCTGCCAGGGCTCACGTTGCTGTGAATCCTCACAGAGCTGGTCTCAGGGCCCATTGCCCTTTCCACTTTCTGAGCGCACAGCCCCTTCCGGGTCCTGGGGCAGGTCCTTTTCACCTGCTTCTCCCACCCCCACCTTCACGTTGTTCCAGAAGTTTCCCCAGGTCCCTGACTACCCATTCTACCAAGAGGACAAGGCCTGGGGGTAGTCAGGCAACCCCCAACGCCTTGATTTTCTCATACTCCCTGGGAAGGAGAGCAGGAGGGGAGTGGACCGAGTTCTGTTTTGTTTTGTTTTTTACCCCCTTCCTCTACGCGAAGCTCTCCTGTTCTCTGTACCCGTCTCAAGGGAGGGGGACAGTGTGTTTTATCTCCCCACAACCAAGACCCTCACCTCCAGATAAAGGGCTCAGAGTGGGGGGAGGTCCTGAAAAGCTGCTCGCAACTGATAACAGTCTTTGCTGTCAGCCTTGGTGCCGAGAGCCTGGGAAGGGGAGGGGGCCGCAGCAAATTTCTGCGGCCTGATTATAATAAAGCCCCATGTGGCCATGCGTGACTGGATTTTATTGTGCTAACTACAGATGGAAGCACATTTTCCCCTGCCTCTCCCAACCCCCTCCAGCCCACCTTGCTTTTAAACCCTCCCCAGTTCACCCCGCCCCCAGCCCAGCCCTGCTTCCCTTCTCACTTCTTCCCTCTTTTTCTGGTTCCTGGTGATTTTCTTGGCAAACATCTGTCTGAGTTTCACAATACCTTGTTTTTTTTCTCATCTTTCTTTCCTCTCCCTCACTTGGGGCCAAGAACACAAATGCTTTTTAAAATGACCTTTGGCATTTTGGCCTTGGTGTTGGGCCACCTTTTCTCTCTGGAGGCAGATGTGGGCCACATAGTATGGCCTGGCCTGGCCTGGCAACTCAGGAGCAGAGAGTGGCCAGCAGGGACACAGAACCCTCAACTCAGAGGTATGGCACTGGCTGGCCTTCCCAGAGGCCTGCAGAGACAGCCTACCCTGCAGGGAGCCAGGCAGGAGTACCTGGGCTCCCTGCTGGGATGTCCTGCCACTAGCTGGGTTAGGAATTTCTGACATTTTCATCAAGGCCTGGCTGGGCAGCACAGACAGCAGGGGTGATGTTAATACAATGACAGGATTATGCTGCAGGCCCAGGCACTGTTCTTATGGTGCATTCACCTCATGGTCATGCTGCAAGTAGGCACCATTATTGCTATCCAAGGTTTTAGATGGAAGAAGTGGTGTGACTTGGGCAAGATCACATGTGTGGAGAGAGCTGGGATATGACCCAGAGCCATCAGCTCTGAGGTCTGTGTGCTTAACTAAGAGCCCACAGTTTCTGTCAGTTGCGGGAAGGGCTGTTTGCCCAGGACCACATTCCAGGCACATGCTGACAGCCTGACATAGTCATCATCCACAAATATTTTTGGAGCATTTGCTCTGAGCTGGTGCTGGGGCTGCAGTGCTGAGTCAGGCTGGGTCCTGTCCTTGAGGAGCTCCCCTTACCTTGGGAAGCACAGAGAGAGAAGGAAACCGGTAAGTGTGGTGATATCAGAACAGGGTGAGGGCACTGACAAGAGGAAACCAGGGGCATGTGACAGTGAGGCAGGGCCTGGGGTAGAGACCACTTGAACTAGAGTGGACAAGATGAGCTCCCGGAGACCTGACAAGGAGGCTGGTGTGGAAAGAGGAGAGATCAGCAGAATGGGCAGAGGGGTGGCAAGTGCAAAGGTCCTGTGGTCAGAATGGGTCTGGCAGGCTTGGCCATCAACAAAGAGGTCTGTGAGGCTGAAGGGGTTGAACATGGGAGAAGGGCCAGAGATGAGAGGTCAGATCAGTGAGGAGGCTGCTCAGTCATACCTGCAGGTGAGAGATGCCAGTGCCTTAGACCAGGCACATGGAGAACGTAGTAGACACTTGCATTTCAGAACAGCCCACCAAAGAGCAGTTGTATAAGTGTGTTGTAGTTTTTATTAAACTCCACTTTACTGATAAGGATGCTGAAGCACAGAAGTTGTGTCACTTGCCGAGGGCCAGGCAGTGGGAGAGAGCACTGAGCCAGGTCACTTTCCTTTCTGTAGCCCTGTGGCACCTCTTGGCTGCAATCTGTGGGCCTCCCTCTTCCAGACCCCCTCTTTTCAGTAGATCTCTGAAGACTATGATGCTCTTGTCCCATTAGTTCCTCTGGAATCCAGGAGGAAGTTTAAGTGCAGGAAGGTGGTTGTTGTAGATACAGAGGTTTAGGGAAAGAGTGGACATCTTGGGAATCAGCCTGGGCCTGTGCCGTGGGAGGAAGGCCAGGCCACATTTGAGCACATCTTTCATTTCAAGTCGATGTTGGGAGTGAGTGCTGCTTGTTGACTAATTGGAGGTTGAGCCCCTATGCCTGGCCATCTGTACACCCCAGGTAATATGTCCTTGCTGTCCTGAAAGTCCCCTTTTGTTCCTCCTCAACTGCGGCTGAGGGTAGCTGACCTTCTGGGGAAGGGATCCATGCATTCCTAGGGTATTGACCCTAATTAAGCTCAGCTCAGCTCAGATCTGTCACTAAACCCAAATATCACATTGCCCTGGGGAGGTGCCAGTGACCACTTAAACACCCTCTTTGAGACATACCAGCCACCAGCCCTGGAACAAGGAGGCAGGGTAGATTCAGCTGAAGCCATGCTGAAGCTCCTGGGGTCCCCAGGTTATCCTTGTGAGATTTCACACTCCTGGAATGCCACACTGGGTACTGACTGGGGTCCAGCCCTTGGGAGGGAAAGAGGAAAGGGTCACCAGTCTTTACTAGTGGTCTGTGTGCAGGCAAGGCTACTTACCATTGAGTTAAAGTGCTAAGATTTAAAAATCACAGAGTTTCCTCTAGAAGGCTGGATTTTCAGCTTTCTTTAATAGATCTGAATTCTGGCTTCACTGGGTTGACCTCCCTACATAACAGTGATTGGCCAGGACCAAAAAGGGGCTGTCCTTAAACTGATCATGAGTCCTCAGTCACCAGCAACCCCACCACTCTTCTCTTTTTTGGGGGGGGGGGGTCTTCTATGATCCTGTCTCTCCACCTGAATGTCCCTGAGATTTAGGGTTCAGGTATAGCAGCCTCCAGAATCTTCCTTGGGCCACCCATTTTCTGTGGTCATGAATGAGATAGTATACTTGAGGCATTCAGCCAGGTGCCTGGTGCATGGCAGGAGATTTAATCAGTGTCCTTTCCTTTCTCCTTTAATTTCTGAGATGTCAAATGCCAGGGAGAACAGTACAGTGGAAATATCCCTGGCTGAAGGTCATGGTTTTTCTTCTTTCCATTGAAGTTATCCTTTAGGGCCCAAGTCATAGTTATTTTGCATAGCTCTGTTTCCCCATCATTACTGATAATTTCTTCTCCTGTTTTGGTTGAAAGTTGAGTTCACATGGCCACAACATGGAGTCTCTTATTGAGTAAGTTGTATTAGTTTCCCAGTTGGAATAGGAGACTTTGTGTAGATTTCTGCTTTTTTGTTCTGGGGATGGAGTCTAGGTTCTAGGGGCAAAGGCAGCATGTTCAACTAATGTTACAAAGACCACATTATCACCGTGGCTGTTTCCAGAAGGGCTTGAAAGAGTTGTTCTGTGACAAAGTAGCTGAAGCTTAATTAGGACTTGAAAGCATTAGACTTCATCAGAAAGAGCAGAGGAGACCAGGTACATCATTGGTGATTGGTGTGAGCCTGTGTGGGACAGATCTGTGCCCTCTGCAGCTCCTCAAGTCACACAGCAGGTTGAACTATTTGACTGGGGGTAGAGTTCATGGGAGAAGCAGGGTTTGTCAGCTCCAGGCCCCCAGGTGGCCTCTGAGAGCTTCTACTGGCCAGAGGGCACGAGTGCAGAGTTGGAATCTGCAGGCAAAGCAGTGCCCACCTGCTGAAACATGAGAGTGAGGAGTATGAGGCCTGCAGTCTGATAACTGCTTTGAAGAATTGCTAAGGCAAGGATTGGTTTAGGGGGAGGGGATTTGTGGGAATAGCTTAGTAGCTTGTCTGTGAAGGGAAGATTTGTCCCCAGACCCTGATCACGTGACTTGGAGAAGTTGGGCGGTTGAACCAAATTGAACACACAGCCTTGCAGCTTGGTTTCTCAGAAGGTCACGAGGCTGCCTTGTTCTCAGCCTTCTGAGGCTTCTGTCACCTGAGGTCCTGGCTCCCTGTGCTGAGGACACAAGCACATACCTGCCCCTCTTGCTTACTCACAGCTTCATAGCTGCTCTCCCCTCTCCCTGAAGTGCCATTCCTTCAAAGTGGGAGTGGCACGGAATGGCAGCAGCAATGGGTGGAAACAACCACCCCCGGTAACACCACCCTCCAGAAATACCCAGGAGCACTTAATGCACATGCTTCCCATTACCTCTGCTGGTGTGCGCACGTGTCTCTTTTCTCAGGAACTGTGCACAGGTCATTATTGGAATGACATTGAGCATTTTTTTAAATTGGCGTTGCACACTTTTTTTAATATCTTAATTTTTCTTTTAAATTTCTGTATTGTGAGCATTGTTCCATATCCTTTAGACATTCTTCAGAAACAACATTTTTAATGACTACATAATTACTCCAGTCCCTGGCGACACTAGCACTTACCATACGTCTTATTTGCGAACAGATAATGTTTTCAGTTTTTCACTATTATTTGTAACTCTGAATTTAATATGTCATATATAGACAAAACAATACCTCTTAATGTGCATGTTTCTTAATGTATATGGGATATCTTAATTGTACGTCACGGCCTTGAAGTTCAAGGGCTGTTTAGAATGTTCTGAGTTTTGTTCCCATTCTGTAGTTTTGAGAAGTTTAAGTTGTATTTTAGTTTGAAAGTTCACTAAGTTATTTTTTTTTGTTTTGTTTTTTATTGAGGGAAAATGACATCTTGCTTAGGCTTATGGTTCTTTAAAACAGTTCATGTAGTCTTTTACTATAAAGTTCAAATCCGTGTGGGTTGGTCCTATTTAAGGCTGTTAAGTTATGGTCTGTATTTCATACTTCTTTCTCTTAAAAGCAGGCAGAGGCATGGGAGTTCCTCGCCCTGTCACTCAAGGCTTGCTGAAACTTGGCACAAGTTGGGAGTCTCACTGTCCCTTCTTGCTGCTACCTAGAGAGGCAGAGCCTTTTTTATCTCGTAGGTTGTATATGTTAGACCTTGGGGCTTAGGTGGGTTATTAGGCATAATTTAATGTTTTTTGTTTGTTGGTTTTGTTTTTTTATGGGGGAGCCAGTACCAGACAGTGAAACCCCAGAAAGTGGAAAGCCAACAGAGGGTGGATTGGACAACTCTTCAGCAAAGATGGAGGAGGAGGAAGAGGAAGAAGAAGAGGAAGAAGAGAGCCTCCCAGGGTGTACTCTATTTATTAAGAATCTCAACTTTGACACAACAGAGGAGACGCTGAAGAACGTGAGTGTTTTCCTAGAACAGGAGGAAGGAACATGGCTGGGAAGCCCCAGTCTGCTGACGTGCTTACTGCATTTATTCCACCTTTAAGCGTAACTCCTGGTAATATGTAACCTGACAACCACCTACTCGACCTCTCTCCTGGAACTGGAGACAGCTCAGCCAAAGGCTTGACTAGTACCATGGCCAGCCAAGGGAGTCTGGGAGGGGCTCCCACATACACTTTGGGGGCATGTGTAGTGTGAAGTTGGTAGTCAGTGTTTGGGTTATATATTTAGAAAACACACCCCCAATTGTTATTATGGTCTAAACTACCAGAGTAAATGTCAGCACAATCCTCTCGGCCTGGCAGGAATGTGTGGAAGCCATGTCAGTGAGTGAGTGTCTGGCCCCACCTGGAACCTCTGGATGGGGCGAGATTTTTGCATTGATGGGAAGAGGACATGGAGTAAAAGGACAAAGAAGTCCAAACAGGTGTTTGGTAAATGCCAAATGAGTGCTGTACCAAGTGGGGGCTGGGAACTTCTAGAAGGAATTGGACCTGAGATCAGAAAATGGGTCCTCCAGTTCTGAAGGATTGGGGTTTGCTCCCCCAATGGACTGGGCGCTCTCTATGGGGAGACACTTTATTTCTGGAAACTGGGCTTGGCACAGAATAGACACTGAATGGAGTCCCAACTTTGAATGAATGAATGAATAGCAGCTGGCTGACAGCCATGAATTTGTTCTAGAAATGAAGGTGCTATAAGAATTGAACTGACTAAAAAAAAAAAAAAAGAATTGAACTGACTGTTTTCCAAAAATTCCCCTTTACTGTAAATTTCTATGGGCAGAGTCAAGAGAGAAGACAGCATCCCCTGAGTCCCAGAGGCAGGAATCTGGTGGGCATATAGATGATCTGAAGACAGACTGGGGTGTGGAAGGGAGACAGAAGGTCAGGGCCACCACTCTGAGCCCCTCCACCTCAGGCTCTGTGATTCGACTGTCCCCTTGCCTATAAAGAGCAAGCCCAGCTGCAGAGATGCCCTGTCTGAAGCAGCAGCATTTATAAAGATTCACCTTATTAAGCAATTAGAAATCCACCCTTACACTTTTCTTTCTTTCTTTCCTTCACTTCCTTCCCTTCCTTCCTTCTCTTCTTTCCTTCCCCTTCTCCTACCCCTTTCCCTTCCCTTCCTCCATTTTTGTTTTGTTTTGTTTTTAAACAGTGGCACACACTAGTAGTATCCAAAAGGTAGATAGCTTTGAGTGTGCCATACCAGCTTGTGGTATTTGGATGTCTGGTGTGGGTCTGGTATGGGAGCACCATGATCGGAGATCAGTGTTTTCTGGGAGATGCACACAAACCTCAGCCCAAGAACATCCTCAGAAGTCTAAAGGATTCTGGGGCTGGAAGGCACAGCCAGGATATCTAATCCAGTCTCTTCATAGTGTACATGTGGAGACTAAGCTTCAGGGAGGTCGGTCACTGTCCTTGATGCAGCCGACCAGAGGCACTAAGAGAAGAGCCCCTCGCTCACAGGATTGCCATCTCAGCACCATGCTTGGGAGGAGAGCTGCTGTTGTGGGACCAGCCTGCCTGGGCTTGGATCCTGGCTTCATTCCTCACTAAAAATGTGGCCCTGCTCGAGTTTTTCAGCCCTTCTGTGCCTCAGTTTTTTCCTCTGTAACATGAAGGTGCTAATAGTATCTTCTCATGGGGTGTTTTTGGTGTTTTGATTAGGATGAATGAGATAGTCCCGGTAAAGCATTTGATACTTGACACAGAAGAGTCAGTAAGTGGCTGGCTGTCTCGTGCAGTATTTGTGTGTCAGGACTGACCCTCCCCGCTGTGTCTCTTCTGCTCATTGATGATCCTTTTATAGGCACCTGCCTCTCCCTAGTCCTGTGTACAGTGCTAAAGACAGAGCTGAGAACCAGAGGACTTGGGTTTTGCCCTCACTGGGTTTCAAATTCTAGCAAAGGAGATAGAAAAAGTAAAAAGGAAGATAGACTAGGATATGGCTTAAAATTATTTGTAAATCACTCTGGCACTCAGTGAGGGAGCAGGGAGAGGGGCTGGGATTCAGGTAGGTAGATTCCAGGCTTCTAAATCTCCTCCCCACTTTCCTGTTGTATGATCTGCAGTAAGTTTCTTAACTGTTCTGTGCCCTGCTTCCTTCCTCTGAAACTGGAGCAAGAAACACACCCAGCTGCCATTGTGGGGAACCCAAATGGATTGTCCAGGGTACTTAGAGTAGGTCATCTCTTGTCACCTCAAGATGTCAATATGGCCAATTGGAGGACGGTACAGTTTTTGACAGTGTCCCTTGCCTACAGAGCGGTACAAGGCCAGGATCCCTGGGTCCAAATCTCAGGCCCAGCACATCCTAACTCTGTGACCCAGGTGCCATCTCTAACCCCTCTGAGGCCTAGTGTTTTTCATCTGAGTAATTATACCTACAGCACAGAGCAGGTATCATCTCGGTGCCTGTGCTCAGGCATGTGGCCTCTGTCTTTCAGCTTACAGCTGCACAGGTCACAGGATTAGCCCAGAAGTGCCAATGATACATGTCAACATTCTTTTCCAGGTGTTTTCCAAAGTGGGGATGGTGAAGAGCTGCTCCATTTCTAAGAAGAAGAACAAAGCAGGTATTTTTTTATGAAATCATAAGCAGAAAGAAATGGTGTAGCTTTGGGCAAGACATCAGGGGTTACTCTCACTGGTATGTTTTGAAAGACCTCATCTGTTCTGGAGCACAGTCACCCTCAAACCTGCTCATCTGCCTTGTTTAAAGTGGTTTCTCTTCCCGTTTCCCTGGAGACTCTTTTTCAGTAGAAATGGAATTTGAGGATCCTCTGAATCTTCCAGACCCCTCACTACTTTAGGCTGTCAGAGCTGGCTGTAGAGTGGTGCCATTGTGAGCAGGTGGCAGAAGCCTCTGCTTCATCCCAACACCTCTGTGCTCTGGAAATTTCTCAGGAAATGGAAACAACCAATCTTGGACTTTCCACTTATTTCCAAAAGCAATAACCCAGTCATAGAACTTCTGGAATGTTCCATCTACTCATTAACCACACATTTCCATGGCCAGTGGGTCCGTGGGTGGACAGAGACCATCCTCATCTCTCTACCCAGTCTCAGACGCTGTCCTGGGTCCCTTGGCCTCTGCTTGGCTGTCCTCCAGCCCTGGCTTCCAGCAGAGGATGAGGAGGGGCTATGTCTTTGCTTTTTCACAGCCACACCAGTCCCCTCCCAAGTCCACTATAGGCAGGATTTATAGGAATGCCTAAATTATGTTCTGAGCACCTGCTATGTTCTGTGAGGCTGCTGGGGCTGGGCCCTGGGATTTTGCCAGAAGAAGAGGCAGGAGACACGCCCAGAAAAGTTTTGAGCAGAGTGATGTAGAAGTTAGAGTGTCTCTTGCCTTTGTTTGCTAGGCTGCCATAGCAGGGAACCACAGACTGGGTGACTTATACGACAGAAAGGTGTCTAATCTCACAGTTGTGGCATCTAGAATTCTGGGATCAAGGGACACATAGGGCCAGTTCCTTCTGAGGCTGTGAGGGAGGAGCTGCTCCAGGCCTTTTCTCCAGGCTTGTGCCTGCTCAGGGGCAGCTCCTCCTTTACACCCATCCTCTGTTCACCTCCTCCCTCCCCTTTAAAGGACATCAACCACATCGGATTAGGGCCCACTCTCATGACCTCATTTTAACTCGGTTGCCTCTGTAAAGAGCCTATCCCAAAGAAGGTCACATCTGAGATCCTGGGAGTTAGGATTTCAGCCTGTGGATTTGGAGGACACACTTCACCTCATCACACCCCTGTCCTCTAGGACTTTAGATAGAATTTGGGAATGCTGAGAAAGGTCAGTTGCAAGGATTTCAGGAAAGAGGGTCATTGCTAAAGCTCAAGAAGTGGGTCAGACTGGACCCAGGCCAGTGGGCAGAGGTGGGTCGCTGCGCCTCTCTATAGAAGGCTGCTCTGTGGCCCTGCCTTTCTTTCCAGGAAGCACCCTTCAGCATGTGTTAGAAATAGTTATCTGAGCAACCGCTGTTGTAGGCAGCTCTTAAGATGTGCGCTCTCTTTCTCAAGAGCTTCTGTTTGAGCACCTTGTTCTCTGGGGCTTATCCTTCACAGTTTGGGGAAAATCCAGAACAAAGTGTGTCCATCAGGTTTGTGGCAGGAAGCACACTCAGCTAGGGATGGAAGACAGACACACTGATGTGTGGCTTGCAGCGGATCCCACAGGAAACGTGCCCTTCCCCTTGCCGAGCCTCGAGGGGTGCTAGGGGAAAGAGTGTGACCCGAGCTCCGTGAGAGCTGGAGCCACAGAGTAGCCAGCAGGAGCTGTGGCTGTGGACTGCACATGGCCACCTGCAGAGCCACACACCAAAGCAGGGAGGTAGGTGATCATGTGGAAATGATCCAGTACTGCAGTCTCCCCATACCCCACTCCACCATTCCGCCTCAGATCAATGCTTCCCCCTGGCTAATCCCCACCGGAGATCCGGGGCTATAGAAGTCAGCCTCCCCTCTCGGAGTATCCACAAGGGCAGACATTGTATCTGTCTGGTGTCAGGGGCCAGGAGATGACATTGACTTTCTTGTGATTACCCTTCACACAGTGTTAACGCACTTTTCAGATATCATATGTACACAGCCTGGACCCTGCAGAAGAGAGGGAGCTTGCAAACAGGATCTGCGTGGAGAGCCAACGGTTGCCAGTCATTTGGCTGTTGTGTCTGAACTCTGTGTAGGCAGCTAGTGGACTTTCTTTCTGCACTCAGCTCTCGTTCTCTTAACACTTGCCACTGGCAGTGTGTGGGTGGGAATGCAGAAGGCAGGCCTCACAGACCATGCAGCAGAGGGAAAGGCCAGAACTGCCAAGTGACACCAGGTTCAGAACTTCAAGCCTCATTTGGACACATTGGACTTGAACTGAGCTTCTTTGAGGTTAACTGTGGAAAAAAAAAGAACAGATGCAACAAATCTGTCTGAAATGCTGGGGCAGAGGTGGAGGGTGTGGCTGCCTGAATTTGGGGGTCCAAAAGGCAAGATGTAATTAGAGGGGTTTTTTTGTTTTGTTTTGTTTTTTAGTGCCTTGTGGAAAAACTTCCCTCCC